CTGTGTGTATCCGTGTATATGTCTTTGTGTGCGTGATTGTGTGGGTATGTCTATATGTGTGTCTATGTGTTTCTGTATATATGTCTCTTCTCTGTGTCTATATCTATGTACGCCTGTATGTGTGTTGCTGTCTGTGTGTATGTCTGTGTATCTCTCTGTATGTATCATGTCTGTCTGTGTCTGTGTCTCTGTGTGTGCCTGTGTGTATATGTATCTATGTGTCTGTGGGTATGTCTGTGTCTATCTGTGTCTGTCCATCTGTATGTGACTCTGTGTGTCTGTTTATGCCTGTGTGTCTGTCTGTATATATGTCTGTGTATGTCTCTGAGTGTCTATTTGTCTTTATCTGTGTGTTTATGTCTGTCTCTTTGTGTATCTATCTGTGTGTGTATGTGTCTGTGTCTGTGTTCCTGTGTATGTCTGTATATGTGTCTGTGTGTATGTCTATGTCTATCTGTATGTCTATACTGTGTGTGACTATGTGTATATGTGTATATGTATGTCTGTCAGTATGTCTGTCTGTGTATCTATCTGTATCTCTATGTATCTACCTGTGTGTCTGTGTCTCTGTGTGTGTGTTTGTATGTATATGTCTGCATGTGTCTCTGTGTGTATGTATGTATGTGTCTTTGTGTCTCGTCTGTCTATATCTGTGTGTGTGTCTCTTTGTCTCTGTATGTATGTGTGTCTGTTTCTGTGTTTGCATGTGTTTTTGTGTCTGTGTCTGAGTGTGTCTTTGTGTCTCTGTTCTGCACATGTCGCTGTCTGCGTGTGTCTGTCTCTGTGTATGTGTCTCTGTCCCTGTGTCTCTGTGTGTGTTTTTGTGTCTCTGTGTATGTATCTGTGTCTCTGTATGTGTCTGAGTGTGTCTCTGTCTGTGTCTTTGTGCATCTGTGTCTGCCTGTGTACACGTCTGTGTGTCTGTGTGTGCATGTATCTCTGTGTCTCTGTGTATGTGTCTCTGTGTCTGGGTCTCTGTCTCTATGTGTCTGTATCTATGTGCTTGTCTGTGTGTGTCTCTGTGTCTGCATGTATCTCTGTGTCTACATGCATCTCTTTCTGTGTGCTCCCATCTCTCTTACACCCTGCCCATTAAACTAGCTATCTGCATGTGTCTTTGTGTCTCTGTGTATGTGTCTCTGTCCCTGTGTCTCTGTGTGTGTTTTTGTGTCTCTGTGTATGTATCTGTGTCTCTGTATGTGTCTGAGTGTGTCTCTGTCTGTGTCTTTGTGCATCTGTGTCTGCCTGTGTACACGTCTGTGTCTCTGTGTGTGCATGTATCTCTGTGTCTCTGTGTATGTGTCTCTGTCCCTGTGTCTCTGTGTGTCTGTGTCTGTGTGTTTGTCTGGGTCTCTGTCTCTATGTGTCTGTATCTGTGTGCTTGTCTGTGTGTATCTCTGTGTCTACATGCATCTCTTTCTGTGTGCTCCCATCTCTCTTACACCCTGCCCATTAAACTAGCTGTCCTCTGGCTTCCTGGAGTCACTGCTGAAATTCTTTCTGGCAAAGAGCCCACATGGCAGGCTTGGTTGGACAATCCCCTTGGGGCCTAGGGTCTCCTGCCAGCCTTGCCTCTCTGCTTAGAGAGTTTCATCCTCAGCTTTTCTGCCCTCAGAGCTAGAGTCAGACAGACCTGTTCCTATCCAGCTCTACCACTTGACCAGGATCTTGAGCAAGTCTCTTAATCTTCTTGAGCCTCTGTTTCCTCAGCTTGCAAAATGTAGCCAATATTCACCTCAAAAGGTTATTATGAAGGGGACTGGAGAGATGGCTCAGCGGTTAAGAACACTGGTTGTTCTTGCAGAAGACTGGGGTTTGAATCCCAGCACACACATGGCAGCTGACAGCTCTCCATAACTCCAGCCCCGGGTGATCTCTGACCTCTGCTGGCATTGCACGACACAGGTGCGTTTACCTACATGCAGGCAATACATGCATACACATAAAATAAAAATAATAAATAAAAAAATGTTATTATGAAGAATCAATGAAATAACAGGAAAGAAAGAGTGGTAGCCAGTCCTCAGCCCAAGGGGCTGGATTCACATTAACTACAAACGAGGTACAGTCTGCTTTGGAGGTTTTTGTTGGCACCATACCCTAGCTTAAAACTAGTAAGTTGTTTGTTGTTTTCATTGTTATCTACATGGCTTTTTAAAAATAATGACCTAGAACCTACATGTGTTGTAATGAACGCTTATACTGGCCAGGTGTTTAAGGTTATTAGTAATCAGAGTGATGGGGACAATGGTAGTGATAATTGCTTGCTGCTACGGCCCTGCCAGAAGCACAAAGTGCTTTAGAGAAACCACAGTAATCATTCCAGATTGGACTATGATCCTCTTTGATTTATGGGTCCCAATACTCACCCTCTAAGGACACACATTAATCCTGTTGTGGGTGCTGCAGGACTGCAGGGGCTGCACATAGCCAGCAGTTAGAACGTGGTCAAGTTTTGTGTGTGCAGCCCAGAGAGGGCCAAAGCTGGACAGAGAGAACAAGTCAGAGGACACAGAGTGAGATGCTCCAGCTGGGGCATCCTCCAGCAATGCGTGGATTAAAGTGACACACAAAGAGACCAGCAAGATGCCTCAGTGGGTAAAGCCCTTTCCCCACAAGCCTAGAGACCTGAGTTAGATCCCTGGAACCCACATAAGGTGGAAGAAAAGAACTGATTTCACAAAGGTATCCTTTGATTTCCACATGTGTACACCACACACACACACACACACACACACACACACGCACGCGTGCGCGCGTGTGCGCGCAATAATAATTTTTAAAATTTAAATGGGACACAAGGAATTAAGATTAAGTGACAAAAGCAGTTGTCAGACATAGAGGAAGAACTGAAAGTGCTTCTCTGAGGGTCCCCCAGTGTCAGCTCAAAGCCTCAGGCAGGAAATGAAGGACTTGTAGGAGACGGCAGGAGCTCCACTAAGGCTTTCCACACCCAGCACTGGAAAGCTGCTTGTGGACCTGTGAGTGGCTCCCAAACACGGGCCGTCTGGGGTGGAAGCTACTGCATCCAGAGCCAGCTAGGACCTTCCTCCTGATACCATTCTGCTTTTTGCTTGGGTTTCTGGGAAGTGTATGTTGTGTTTTGTCTTTTGTTTTGCTCACTGAGGCAGGGTCTTGTGTTGGCCTTGGACTCTTGACCCTCCTGCCTCCACCTATGAAGTGTTGGGCTCACAGTCCTGCACCACCACCACCACCATTTTGTCTTTTTTTTCAGGGTAGAGAAGGAGGTGTCAAGAGCTTGTGTTCATGGCTAAATCTTATAAACTTTTTTCTTTCTTTTTTTTTTTTGTCTTTTTTTTTTTTTTTTGTCTTTTTGAGACAGGGTCTCCCTGTAGCCCCAGCTGTCCTGGAACTCACTATGTAGACCAGGCTGGCCTCGAACTCACAGAGATCCGCTTGCCTCTGCCTCCCAAGTGCTGGGACTACAGGCACGCACCACCACGCCTGGCCATCTTTTTCTTTTTATTCACAAAAGGTATTGGTGGGGAGTGTTTGCTCCTCTCTCATCGTAGGCAGGAACTTAGGACCCCACATGTACCCAGTTCCAGGGTCCCCACACCATCCAAGACTCTGGATTCCCTTCTTTTATAGGGCCTTACTCTGTAGCTCAGGCTGTTCTGGAACTCACTATGTAGCCCAGACTGGCTTTGTCCTGTAATGACTAGCCTACCTCTGCTTCCTAAGGGCTGGGATTGACATGTGCACCATGACCAACTAGAATCACAGACCTTGGTTTGAGGTCCTGCCTCCCCATCTCTCACTTAACAAAGGATCTGGTGGAAGCTACATAACCCCACTCGGTCTCCAGGGCTTTTTTCTGTGCTCCAGAGGCTCTTTTTTATTGGTTTATTTTTATTTTATATGTACATATGTTTTGTCTGCATGAATGTAAGTACACCTGTGCAATGTCCACAGAGGTCAGAAGAGGGCATCAGATCCCCCGGAAGTGGAGTTACAGATGGTTGTTAGCCACCATGTGGCTGTTGAGAACCAAGCCCCAGTCCTCTCTGCAAGAGCAGTCAGAGCTTTATTTTTTTTAAAAAAAAATTTTTATTTATTTAATGTATATGGGTGTTTTGCCTGCAAGTATGTAAGTGTACCGTGTCATGCAATGCCCTTGGAGGCCAGAAGAGGGTTTAGATCCCTTGGAGCTAGAGTTACAGGTGATTGTTAGCTACCATGTAGCTGCTGGCAACCAAACCCAGGTCCTCTGTAAAATGATACTCAAAATATAGTCCATAGATAAGCCACAACAGCTCAGAGCATGCTGGACATGCAGTATCACAGGTCCCCCAAGTCCACCTACATTAAAATCTACCTTTTGAAGAGACTTCAGATGATTTTCAGGCTCATTAAAGTTAAGAAGGGCTGCCACAGACGACGCATTTTTGAAGCCTTAGGGCAGCGCAGCGTTGGTTCTGTGCGGCCGGTGTCTTCTCTGACATGGTAGAAGGCTGCTATGGAACGATGTTCATGTGCTCTCTAGACCTGAACACCCACTAAATTCTAGCTGAGAGAAATGCTTCACTCATGCTGATCTCACCAGCATGGGAGTCCCGGACCTGAGAGGAGGTTCCCCAAGGACAGGCTCCACATCCTGCCGCACCCCCCGCCCTCTCCGTCTCCAGTCCTCCTGCACACCATTCACATTCCTTTAGTGACAGTGGAAGCCAGCCTCTTGCACCAGCATCCTCTCTTGAATCCAGGCTTGCCCCAATGCTTTTTCTCCTCCTTTAGCCTGCAGCAGGCAAGTCTGTCTCACTGGGGCTCATTCCAAAAGCCTTCCTGACTCCCCAGTTGAGAACCAGCAAGATTCCCATCTTCCTTGCCCATGTTTCATTAATTCACCAGATAGCTACTGAGCATCTGTGAGTACAAGGCATGGTGTCAAGGATGGGGTCCCAGGTGCCAGTACTGAACACAACAGCCAGGGTTCCTGAGCTCCGAGGGGACCACAGCTACTAAGAATGGACTGCTGAGTGCTCACTTCGACACCACATATGCTAAAATTGGAGCTATACAGAGATTATCATGCTCAATACACAAGGATGGCATGCAAATTCATCAAGATTCCATGTTCTTTGCACTTAGCCCCCTTTTGCCCCACCTCCTGTCCCTGGTGCCCACCTTCAACCAGCCCAGCCTCCTGAGAGGTAGATCTTGATGGTCCCAGGGCTATCTGTGATTCAGACTCCCTTTTCTATGAGGTGCCACCCAAGAAGAGCATCTATGATGTGTAGGTCAGCCATCCTCAGGACCTGACTGCCCCAGTCTAGCTGTGATCCTGGTACAGCCTGGGACGTGCCCAGGGCATGGGTGGCTTCTCCCTTCTCCCACAGACATGGGACTAGGGGCTAGAAGAGCATTCACAACTGCCACAGCTTTGAAACACCAGCACAGCCTTGGTGAAAACACACAGCTTTATTGGGCCATGCCAGAAAGAGTTGTGGCCCAGTTGGGTCCAATCCTGACCCTGACCAGTCATGCCTCTGCCTCCATAGCCCAACTAAGTCCAACCCTCACTCTGGTCAGTCCTGGCTTTACCTCCCTGGCACCATTAACAAGCAAAGCGCTGCCTGTTGGCCTTTCTTGGTCACAACTTCTCACGGCACACCTATATCCAAATCTGTCACTGTCCCTCTCTGGCTGTCACTGTCCCTCTCTGGCTCCAGGCCATGGGAGGGAGAGAGAGCTTAAAGGCAAGTCCAGCTTCAAGTCCTGTCCCTCAACTATCTGGGAAGGAGTAACATCTTTGGGGGAAAGGGTTAAGAAAGAAAGACTGGGACTGGAGAGATGGCTCAGTGGTTAAGAGCACTGGCTGCTCTTGCAGAGGACCCAGATTTGGTTCCTATCACCCATATGACAGCTAACAATCATCTGTAGCTCCAGTTTCAGATAATCTTATACCCTCTTATGGCCTCCATGAATTTGCACACATGTGGTATACTTACATACATGCAAGGAAAACACTCATACCCAAAATAAAAATAAATCAAAAAAAATTTTTTAAAGAAAGACTGGATCCTACATAGTTCAGGGGTGATGGAAGTGAGGGAGGTAACAGTAAAAAAAAAAAAAAAAAGTTACAGCAAGCTAGGCGTGGTGGCGCATGCCTTTAATCCCAGCACTCGGGAGGCAGAAGCAGGCAGATCTCTGTAAGTTCAAGGCCAGCCTGGTCTACATAGTGAGTTCCAGGACAGCTGGGGCTACAGGGAGACCCTGTCTCAAAAAGAACAGCAACAACAGCAAAAAAAAAGTTACAGCAAAAAAAAAAAGACACTATTGATAAGTCATTAGTATTCACTTATTCTGTCAGTAATCATTTACTGGATACGTATGTACATGGCACTTGGGCTCATTGTTGAAAACAACACGGAAATCCCCACTCATCTCAAATGTGAAATTGTTCTAAAGTTACCATTGTCTGGGGCCAGATGTGGTACACATGCCTGTAATCCCAGCACTTAGGAGATGGAAGCAGGAGGATCAGGAGTTCAAGGTCAATCTCATTTAAATAGTGAGCAAGATTCAGCCTCAGCTATATGAGGCTCTGTCTCAAAACAAAAAAAAAAACAAAAAAAAAGTTACCAGTATGTATACATGCCATCACCCTTCTACTTATGGTTTAGAAAAAAATAATTCCAATTTCTCTTGTCTTCTTTCTTCTTTTCTAGAAATTCTGCTAAGCCCTAAGGACAGCCTGCTTTCTCTAAATCCCCCATCAGGGGTCAGGATGGAGGACTCTTTGCCTCTCCTTCAGTGGAAGTGGCTCAAACCCCAAACCCCCCACCCTCAGGTCAGGGGCCTCTGAGCAGTAAGGAGATCCACACAGAAGCCAGGCCTGCCCTGTGTACAAGGAAACTCCTACCTCAGCTTCCCTTTTCTGTCTTAGATTCTTTTCTTCTTCCTTCCTCACCCCCATTCCTTCCCTCTTTCCCTTGATCTCAGGCAGTGACCATTTCTCCTGAGGCCCAGACTCAACCCTCTCTTGCCTACCGTAGACTATGCACTGCAGCTGCTTGGCAGATGGCATCCTGGCCACCTCTGGCAACTACTGTATCTCAGGTGAGCCTCCTCCCTGTGCTCTTGAAGCTGACTTGTGCAGGGAGCAGCAGGTGGCCCTCACATTCCCTTCCTCACCCTAGGTCTGGCCTTTCCTGACTGGGCCTATAAAACCGAGTCATCACCAGGCTCCCGGCAGATCCAGCTGTGGCACTTCATCCTGGAACTGCTGCAGAAGGAAGAGTTCCGCCATGTCATCGCCTGGCAGCAGGGAGAGTATGGGGAGTTTGTCATCAAGGATCCAGATGAGGTGGCTCGCCTCTGGGGCCGCAGGAAATGTAAACCTCAGATGAACTATGACAAGCTGAGCAGGGCTCTCAGGTGAGAAGAGATGGCCAGTGGTAGAAGAGGCAGAGTTCAAAGAAAAGGGCTGTGGTTTCTGGCTTTCCGGGCTGCAGCCCACTACTACAGGCCTTAGGACATGTCTTTACTTCTGGGTAGATGTCTGGTGTGCTCCAGGAACTACAGGGCTGATGGAGGAGACACAGAGTCTCCTCCCTCCTCACACGGTCAACTCTCTATTCTTGACCTCAATTCTCTAGATATTACTACAATAAGCGAATCCTGCACAAGACCAAAGGCAAGAGGTTTACCTACAAGTTCAACTTCAGCAAGCTCACTGTGGTCAATTATCCTCTGTGGGAAGTGCAGACACCACCTGCCTTTCACCTGCTGCTGGGGGGCCCTGCCCTGTGTCAGCCAGCCTTGATGCCTGTGGCTATGCAGAATGAGGTAAGCAGAAAGCTGACCCCTGTCCTCAGAGCCTCTAGAGAACCTGCTCTCCAGACCTGCTCCCCCTCAGAGACCTGCTGACCTCCATTGTTTTCCTAGTCACTGAGTACTCCAAGAGCAAGGAATCTAACAGTCATTGTGATACACACCACCTGTGCATGTAAGCAAGGGTGGCTTCTGTGCTAGGCATAATCTTTTAATGACAGATCAGAGGGTAAGGGCAAGGGGCTCAGGAGAGGGTCCAGGGCATCTGAAGTGGTAGGTAGCCCATGGCAGTCACTGATTGTTTAAGAACCAGTGTGGGAACATTTCACCATTTTAACAACTGTGTGACAGTTCCAATGTGTTCTAGAGGACCAGATGCCAGGGAGAGCCCACCCCACCCAAGTCCTCCTCTCCCCTCAGCTCCTACACAGCATGCTGTTCACCCACCAGGCCACAGAAGAGCAGCTGGCTGGACAAAGGATCCTCCCGGGGCCAGCAGAAGCCTCTGGGGAAAAGAGGGAGAGCAGCAGCTTTGACTGTGAATGTTTTGGATAGGATCGTCAGAAATCTTAACGAAAAGAGGAGGCCTCCCAAGGTTGAGCATGTGGCGGAGCAGGCGTGAGACAGGGGGTGTCCATTCAATCAACGCTTAGCAATTCCGCTTATTTACTAGGTATGGAGGCTCAGACAGGAAAGATGAACCCTGAGAAGCTTAGAGCCTGGTAGAAAGTAGAGATGGGAGGACTGCCAGCAACTGCAGGTACTGGCAGGGCACAGACAAGGATTTTCAGGATGGAAAGAAGGTAGAAAAAGATGCCCTACGGTGGGAGAGGGGAAGCTGTGAGCAACCGTGGCAAATTTGGAAGACTGCCACCGTTAGTGTGAGCCAAGTGATGCGGAAAGGATGAAGGAGATGTGAGAGCTGGGCTGTCAGGCCATCAGGCATCCAGGTCTAGAAGGCCTCAGAAACCACAGGAAGAGACTGGGCTTTGCTCTCAGAGCAAAGAAAGAAGGAATAAGAGAGATGTTTAGATTTTTCAGTATTTTTTATTTGTTTTTGTGGTGTAGGAGATGGAACCCAGGGCCTACATATCCCAGGCAAGCATTCTACCAACCAAGCCACACCCCCAGTCCTTAGATTTTCATTTTATAAAGACCAAAAAGAAATTACAGAAGGTTCCAAACTGACAATGGTTTGACTGAGGATTTCTGCATACAGAGGCAACTGCATTCCATGAGAGCAGCCATACCTAGAATTTTGAAATTTGGTCCTTCCACTGGCTATCAGCAAGGGGCACTGAAAGCTGCTCCTCTGTCATCCACACATCACGAGGTAAACACCTGACACTGCACAGAACACTACACTGCTAGGCTGCCTTATTCTCTATGCTAGGTATGTTCAACATATCTTTGACGGGGTATTTTCAAATTCACAATGGGTTTATCATAATACGTGGGTTTAATACAATAGGCACAGAAGCCTATTGTAAGTCAATCTTTACACAGGCTGAGTGTGGCTGGAATTAGAGGCAGAACAAGGCTTACTTTAGGAGTCTTTTGTAGAAAAGCCATGAAGACCATTAGGACCATGGGGTAAAGAAGACAGCACAGCTGAAGAGAGATGGGCAGATGAAGCTCACGCTCCTTCATTTCTTCTTTCATCAGATGTTTAGTGACCTTCTATTTGATGTACCAGGCATAGTCCCAGGGTCTGGAAATTTCAACGTGAGCAACATTGCTTTTATCAGGCTGTGGGTAAGAGGCTTATAGGCAACTACCAATAGACACCCAATTATAACTGTTACCTGCCACAAGACGGGAAGTCAAAGGAACTGAGGGTATCAGGGAAGATTTCTTGACAAAGTGACATTTGAGCTGTCATCCAAAGTGTGTATGGGTGTCAAGTGAGCTTAGAGGAAGCCAATGGAGCACAGTAAGTAGGAGAGCAGATGTGTCAAAGCCTGGGATAGCAAGAGGAACTGGGACTAAGCCATGGTGATGGCATTCTGTGACGAAGTAAGAGAAGAGGGTAAGTGTAGGCAGATACAAACAGCTTTCATAGTAAGTAGGTCGCGCGTAGTGTGGAAAGATTCAACCCAGCTGTCTTGTGCAGAGGCCCAAGGATTACCTCCCCCAACACACTTCAGGCAGTTTCATGGATCAGGACCATTCACTTTGGGAGGCTCAGAGAATATGGCTGAGGCCGTGGGTACAGGGCAGTTAGGATAACAGTCTGGCATCCTGTTCCTCTACTCTACCCCACCCCTCCCAGCTCCAGGGTGTTATGGGAAACTATGAGCACCCTTTGGGAAACTATGAGCCCCAGCTTGGACTGGGATGTTTTTCACAACCCGGATTTCTTTGAACACACACACACACACACACACACACACACACACACACACACACACACACACACATTTTCCCTGTGCTTGAGTCCTGAAGGGCTTGACGATTTTAGGTGAGCAGGGGGCTAGTAGCAGTGACATGCCATGCTTCTGGACTTGGGTTCCACTGCCAGTCTCACTTTCACAGTCACTCAGAGCATGTGGTGCCAAGCAAGGGTGCCTCTGCTAGACAGAGGAGCCCAGGGATGCTCGGCCAGGTACTCCTGAGATGACTGTAAAATATCTCCTCTGGGTGCATAGGAAAAGGACACTGCCTTGACCCCAGGAGTTCCCAGGGATACAACCCTTCTGTGGAACAACAGCCCCCACCTCATTGAAGGGCCCTAGGAGGATACTGGTCCCCAGAGAGAGAACACTCTGGCAGGAGTCCACACATTCTCTTATGGAGAATCACTGTGGTTATTTTCTCCCTTCATGGGTCTTACTTAAGAAATATTCATAGCTGATAAACTGCATTATTAAATAATGCCTAATCTGCTTTCCTAATTTTTATTGACTATACCCAACCCATGTGATCCTGTTGCTCTTTCAGTTAAATGATGTGGCCTTGCTCAAAATGTAGTGTTTCATTGAGGCTTGCTGAAGTAAAGAACATGGTGTGGAGCTCTGTCTGGCCATCTCCAGGAACCCCAGGCTAAGTAACCCCCTGCAGAGTCCTGGTGGATGGGAAGGGTAAAGAAGGTTTGGATAGAAAGGAAGCAAGGCTTTTTGGAGGAAGAGAACTACGGGCCTCGTGTCAGAAGAAGAAGGCTGGGGATCCCTCACATGTCCCTGGGCCTCATAGCTATGAACTCTGCAGGCCCCTAACAGATGATCTTAGCAGGTACCACTTGATCCAAGGGAGGAGATTATGGATGAAGAGACAGAAGCCTTCATATTTAAGTGACAAGCATGGCTGGCTACAATTTGGAGCCTTTGAGCAGGAGTGGGTTCACTGAGTTACGGCATGGAATATTCATTCATTCTTTTAACACGTTTTTATAAAGAACTTAATCTGTACCAAGGTAGACTGGATTCAGGGGAGAATAAAACAGATACAGTTCCTGCCCCTGTAGAGTTCGGAACACAGACCTTACAGAAATAAGCACAAACCTGACTGCAGGATTCTAGCAGAGCCAAGCACCACAGGAAAGGCCCAGGGGGAGCGGGGTGCTCCCACAGGCTGGCAGAGTCTCGGGAAGTTCCCCTAGGGCATCTATGATGAACAAGACCAGAAAAGAAAAAGGGAGGGAGGTGAGGAGAGATCAAAGAAGAAGAAGGTGAAGGGGTGGGAGGTGTGATGGTAGAGGGGGACTTCGAAGCAAGAGGGAGAAACAAAGCCACAGATATAGCTCCATTGGTAGAGTACTTTCCCAGCATATAGCAAACCTGGGTTTGATCCCAGCACCACATAAACCAGGAGTGGTGGAGCATGCCTGCAATCTCAGCACTTAGGAGGTAGGTCAGGAGGATCAAAGCTCTCTCCAGCTACACTGAATTTAAGGCCAGCCTGGGTTACACGAGACCCTGCCTCAGAGAAGGAACGGAAGGGAGGGGAGGAGAGAAAAAAGGAGAAGGTGAAGGAAGGGAAGGAGAGGGAATGGGATGTGAGGAGCATCTCCTACAGGGGTGTCCTCCTTAGTCTCTCTCTCTCTCTCTCTCTCTCTCTCTCTCTCTCTCTCTCTC